GCAAACGTGAGTTAAACAAAAGAACTGACATACCTTTGGAGAACTCTTTCCGTTGAATGTTTCTGTCATGGTAAGTCTTGGTTCGTTCTTTGTAAAGCTTTGCATTCTCATAAGACTCATGTCTAATTTCTTCCAATTCATTGAGCTGAAACTTTCTTGCATGTCCTGCCTTGTCTAGATAAAAATTCAATTTCTTGATGGCCCAAAAAGCATTGTGTTCAAGCTCCATTGGTAGGTGGCAGGCTTTCCCAAACACAAGACGATAAGGGCTCATTCCGATGGGAGTCTTATATGCAGTCCTGTAAGCCCATAATGCATCATTGAGCTTCGCAGCCCAATCCTTCCTTGTACTGTTCACAACCTTCTCTAGGATGTGTTTAATTTCTCTATTGCTTATTTCCACTTGACTAGACGTTTGAGGATGATATGGTGTAGAGACTCGATGGGTGATGTTGTACTTCTTCATGAGTGCTTCGAATGGCTTGTTACAGAAATGACTGCCTCCATCACTAATGACAGCCCTTGGAGTACCAAACCTTGTGAAAATATTATCCTTCAAGAACTTTAGCACCACCTTATGATCATTGGTTTTGGTGGCTATGGCTTCCACCCATTTAGACACATAATCAACAGCAACAAGTATGTAAGTACAACCAAAAGAAGATGGGAATGGTCCCATGAAATCAATACCCCACACATCGAAGAGCTCCACAACGAGTATGTTATTCAATGGCATTTCGTTCCTGCGACTTATGTTCCCCATCCTTTGACACCTATCACACTTAACACAAAAATTAAACGCATCTTTGAATAGAGTGGGCCAAAAGAAACCAGATTGCAGAATTTTAAGTGCTGTTTTCTTAGCTCCAAAGTGACCTCCACAAGCCAATTCGTGGCTATGCCTAAGTATGCTTTCTTGCTCTTCTTCTGGAACACATCTTCTGATGAGTTGATCCGGGCAATGCTTGAATAAGAAAGGTTCATCCCATACATAATGTTTCACCATGGAAAAGAACTTCTTCTTATCCTGAGAAGTTAGATCATTTCTAAGAACACCACAAGCAAGATAATTAACAAAATCAGCATACCATGGCTCTTTGACTTGGGCAGCATATAGTTGTTCATCAGGGAAAGTCTCATTCAAGGGTAGCACAGCTTCTCCTTGTTCTTCAACCACAATTCTGCTCAAATGATCAGCTACCACATTCTCACATCCCTTCTTGTCTCGAATCTCCAAATCGAATTCTTGCAGCAAGAGAATCCATCTAATCAAGCGTGGTTTGGAGTCCTTCTTAGTGAGCAAGTATCTAAGAGCTGCATGGTCAGAATAAACAATTACTTTAGAACCAACAAGGTAAGAACGAAATTTTTCTAAAGCAAAAACCATAGCAAGCAACTCCTTCTCTGTTGTGGAGTAGTTGATTTGAGCATCATACAAGGTCCGGCTAGCATAATAAATCACATGGGGGAGCTTATTCTTCTTTTGACCTAAAACTGCACCAATAGCAAAGTCAGAGGCATCACACATTATTTCAAATGGTAAAGACCAATCTGGAGCTATGATAATAGGGGCTGAAGTTAGCTCCCTTTTCAAGGTAGTAAAAGCTTCCATGCAAGCTTCATTAAACTCAAAAATAGCATCCTTAGCAAGGAGATTACACAATGGCCTTGTAATACTTGAGAAATTTTTTATGAACCTTCTATAGAATCCAGCATGACCCAGAAAGCTTCTAACTCCTTTAACAGAGGTAGGGGGTGGCAGATTTGAGACGAGATCGATCTTGGCTTTATCCACTTCAATTCCCTTGCTTGAAATCACATGGCCTAGCACAATGCTTTGTCTCACCATGAAGTGACACTTCTCCCAATTCAAAATCAGATTTGTTTCCTGGCATCTTTTAAGCACTAGAGACAAGTGGTGAAGACAATCATCAAAAGAGGAACCAAAAACTGAAAAATCATCCATAAATACCTCAATGAATCGTTCCACACTACTACAAAAAGGGCAAAAGATGACCAGAAAAAGACGACGGTAGAACAAAAAACCGTCGTTGTTTTTAAAAAGACAACGGTAACAAAAAACCGTCGTGGATAAGTGACTTAAACAACTAAAAAATGGAGATACTGTTGAGAATTTTTTTATAACGACGCACACAAATAAAAAAGCGTCGTCTTATTAAAAATCTTTTCTTCATAGTTAAAATCTAACCAAAAAACAACGACAGCAGGTATGACAAGCGTCGTTTTTTAAAAATCAAGTGTCCTTTTTTTGGTAAAGACATGGTTGTTTTGAAAGAACTGTCGTCTATTATATTTTGATGATTTTTTACAGCTACACTCCTTGACCCTATATGAATACAATGACT